ACAGAGAACCTGAGAGCAGATCCTTTTGGTATGCATGAAGCCATAGCACCATCAACTTCATGCACATGAAGTAGATGGAAGTGCAGCTATTGGGGTGAGTCTAGGTCCAGGGTCACACCTGAATCCAACAATAACTGGTTGTGTCACCTCGGAGGGCTGGATAGAAGCCTTGCTGCGCTGTCACTCCCCTGACAGTGCTCAAAATTCAGCTTCTCCACGGCAGCTAATACCTTTTCCTTTAAAACTACATCTCAGCAGGATATAAGATCTCAGTGCAATCCTAGAAGTAGGACATCCCCTTTGGATAGCTCACAGACTGGTCCAGGGGGACAGCAGGGGACTATGTCCTCCCAGAAGTGCAAGTACAGCTTGCAGAGCTACATAATCTAAGTATTAGATAGCACAGCTTGCAGAGCTGTATAAGACTAAAATGTTGTTGGATAGCACCAGATGCTTTAAATTCTACTTTGTGATCAACAGCAGAAGCAGAAAAATAAGTGTTATGCGAATCAGAGAAGGAGGCTTAGGTAGGAACTTCCTCATCCAAAAGCATGAGGAGACTTTAAGAGCTTAGAGTTGAGAAAAACTGAATGACAGGGCTAGAAATGAGGAGGTTTTACAAAAGATTAGAGAGATATAGAATCTTATATGACCAACCTAGTCGTAGTAAAGCAAGCCATATTCTTTTCAGGTTTATGAAACAGCAAGGGTTTGTAACTAAATACCAGTGATGGGCTCTGCAGTGCAGGTGGTGCCTGAGCCTGGAAGAACACAGTGTGCCCAATTACACTTCAGATGAAGCTGCTGCACTGGCAGCTACCACAGCCATTATTTTCTTGCTAAGCTAAACTGGTCAGACATGGACATTCACTGGAATCTCAAAATGCTTCGTTAATGGATCTGTGTGCAAGCTCTCTGCTGGTTTTCCCAGGGCGGAGCTTGGTAGTGCTGTCCCCTTGCGCAGGAGAGAGAAAGACCAAGCTTCCTGGTGTGTCCTGTGGCAGAAAGAGCATTTATTCTTAAAACCGCGTGGTTTATATGGGTTCGGGGGGAGGGCAGGAAGGAGAGCTGTGACTGGGTCGAGGTACGGGGGGAGGGGAGTGGCTTGAAAACCCACTGACCAATGGGAGATACGGGATGATTGTGTTCAAATAACCAACGAGGATTTGGGGAGAGGTGGGCACAGCAAAATCTGCTGATCAGGAGAAGGGGAGACAGCATGGCTGCGAGTGGGGTGGCCGCATGGACCAGGGAAAGTACATAACTCAGGGAGAAACCGTTACAATAAAAATGGAAGTTGTTTTCTTGCTTTGATCAATCCCGGGAAGCCGTCACTGTGGTGAGTCTGTTTCTAAAGCTGTTCCTTCCAGCTTTCATAATCCTGTCGTTCTCCCACAATTCCTCCGTTTTTATTTATTAATGAAAAGTAAACTTGTGCAGCATTGTGTATTACGAGACCCTGGAAACATTTGGCTACGCACGGAAGAACACAAAGAAGGATTGCTAGTACGAATAAGCCTAAGAGTAGAAATAACAGAAATTTCTTCAGGAGCTGTGAGAGTCCCTTCAAGCCAGCCAAACATGTCGTCCCAACTAACCTCATCAGACCTTAGGATTTGTTGTATGAGGGAACGCAGTTCATTTATATGGGAATGAATAGATTGAGAGTGGTCGGAGAAATTTAAGCAGCATAGCCCCTCAAATTCATCGCAGCCGTGTCCATTAACTAGCAGTAGGAAATCAATGGCTGCTCTATTCTGTAAAGTGGCTTTTTTAATCTGCTGTGAATCTAGTAGTAAGTCCTCTAGTGCCACACTCGTCGCATTAGCCTCCTTGACTAGCCAACATCCCATTTTCGTGAGCAGGTCTAAGGCATGTGTTGTGCCAATGGCTGGAATTATTATGCCTCCCCAGAGATTCTTACTGTGGGACCAAAAGTGGAGGTCAGAATCGCAATTTTCAGTGAATTGTTGTAAATTCTGAGATTTGAAAAGGGGATGTTGCTTAACCAGGGGGTGAGGGAGTTGTTGAGAGGCTGTGTTTGTGGATGGTTTTTCACTTCTTTTAAATCGCTGGACTGCAGGTGAGTCCAGTTTCTTCGAGTAGGAGGTGATGTCCCGTTTCGTGATTGTTTTAAGGGGGCTAAGGGCTAATGAATGAATTATCTTTGCGGGATTATAGAGTGATATCTGGCCTAATGTGCAAGGTCTCCCTACCACTCCTTTAGGGATTACTTTCCACACCCGAAGTACACAGATGAGGAATACCCCCTTGGGGAGGGCAAAGGGTAGTGGGGGTTTCTCAATTTTTTCTTTACACCAGAATTCAAAGTTGGAATATGCTCCACTGGATGTTACATTAAATTGATTTTCACCTCTTCCCTCTGTTTTCGTATTAAAATAAAAACAGTGGGATGAGGGGAGGGTACCCAAAATTTGTAACTCTTCAGGGTAGTCATCTAGGTATAGTGGATCTGACTTGGTTTTTGGGGGTTGTGGGAAGCAGGACACAATTTGGTTTCCAATTTTTTCCAGATCATTGCACAGAGCAGAATACTGATTTTTAAATCCTGTCCATTTTTGAGAGGACCAGGGAACTGCAACTAAACATGTTTTTAATGGGTTAGAAGGGTCTGAGACAGAGAGGCATAAGGAATTAATGTCTAAAGACTTAGCTAAGGAAGTCCACATGTTTCCAGGGTCTGCAACCACCCAGTCTGGCAGTGGAGGATTTGTGGGAGGAAACTGTTTCAAGGAGATGACGAGATGGCTTAAGATGGCAAAAATAATGTAGATCATGATGGTACTTGGTCACTGTGGTGCAATTTCACTAGACGAGAAGGGACCCACTTCGGACTGGAACCTGTGGAAACACAAGCATGCCCCCTTCCCCAGGTGATAAGAGGAACAGGACCAACCCATTCCCCTGTTATTACATCCCTATAAATAACTTTTGCATCAGTTCGGACTTGATTCCACTGTGAATTGAAGTGTCTTTCTATGGGTGAGGTGTCCTGTTCTAACCTGTTTAGGAAGTTGATGACATACAAGGTTTTGTTTAACTTCTCTTGGGGTGTGAGCCCGATAGTTGTGTTTTGTTGTTTGGTTAACATGTTTTTTAGCGTGTAGTGGGCACATTCTACTATAGCTTGACTAGTCAGGGAATGGGGGATACCTGTGACATGTGTAATTCCCCACATGTTGAAAAATTCTTTTAATGATTGAGAGGTGTAGGCCGGGCCATTGTCAGTTTTCACGGTTTTGGGGATGCCGAGAATTGATATGGCATACATGAAGTGTTTTTTGACATCTCGAGCCTTTTCTCCTGATAGAGCTGTTGCTGCAATAGCACCAGAACATGTGTCGATAGACACATGAATATACTTTAATTTTCCAAAAGGTGCATAATGTGTTATATCTGACTGCCAAATGTCTAGTGGATTAATCCCACGAGGGTTTACTCCTTCTGGTGGTAGGGGAGTAAGTCTTTGGCAGTCTGGGCATGCAGAGAGAATGGTTCTAGCTTGAGAGAGTGTGAGGTTGAATGTTTTTGTGAGGGATTTTATGTTTTGATGAAAGAAGCTGTGAGACAGTTTCGCTTTTTCAAAATTATTTGGGACCACCGCAGTTTGTGCTAGGTGTCCTGTGTCAGCTGCGACACAGTTTCCTTCTGCAATGGGCCCTGGGAGGAAAGTGTGAGAGCGGATGTGGATTACATGGAATTTGTGTCTGCGCTGACTAATTTCATACCATAGTGTCTTGAACATGTGAACTAATTGTAATTGGGAGAGGTCCTTTATATAGGAGTTTTCAATTCGTCGGACCACTCCAACCACATAAGCCGAATCAGAAACAATATTCAAAGGCTCTGGAAACAGTTGAAATGCGCGTATTACTGCAGAGAGCTCCGCTATCTGAGAAGAACCTCTTACCTTGTGCGTGTCAAATACCCACTTCCCTGCCTTTTGCCAGGTGACTACTGCGTTAGACATTCTCCCAGATCCGTCTGTAAAAACCATTCTAGCATTCATTAGCGGGAAAGGTGAATAATTATTTGTTAGTTCTGGTTGGGTGAGAGATAGTAGCTGTAAAAAAGGGATAGGTGGAAAGTGTACTGAAAATTGACCCTTAAAATCAGCAATGGCTAACTGGAAATCGTCGCTATGAATCAACAACTGGGTTAGCTGAACAGTAGACAGAGGAACATATATGATTTCTGGGTCTCTACCCAGCAGTTCCCACAATCGCAGTCTACTTTTGTGACACACCTTGGAGAGCATTTCAGGATATGTCCTAACTGATTTAGAAAACTGAAAGCTTAGAAAAAAAACATTCCCATAACAGAAACTTCTTGCCTTTTAAATCTAATTGTCCTAGAACAGCATAGGGTTGCTTGATACCCTTGAAAATTACTAACACCACCGGTAACCCACACACTCTCCGCTTAGTCTGACATGCACTCAGTCTCTGATTTATGTCCTGTAACACTGCTCAGGCTTCTGGTGTCAGATGTCGAGGGGATGTCAAGTCCACCTCCCCTTTCAGAAGTTGGAATAGTGGTTTTAAAGAGTCTGTTGTTATACCTAGGATAGGTCTAACCCAATTAATTAAACCTAGCAAGGATTGTAAGTCATTTAATGTGTGGATGTTGGAGGGTAAGGCAACCGTCTGAGGTTGAATCGTGGTGTTAGGTAGGTATGGCCAGTCTTCATGAACGAAGATTTGGGAAAGGTCATTACCCTTTGAGCATGCGCAATGGATTTTTTAGGTGAGACACAGTGTGCGCTGAACTGAGCCCACCCTTTAATCCTGAGGTTCATCTGCTGGGGCCGAGCGAAGCTTGGACGGTGGTAGCGAGGTCCTCAGGATGTGGGTTTGTTTAGAGTGACCTTCTCTTAGATGGATGGCCTTACAGGGCTGACAAGCTCCATCTGCCCAGAGGAGTTCCCTGACCGGGAATCGAACTCGGGCCGCGGCAGTGAGAGTGCTGCATCCTAACCACTAGACCACGAGGGGGCCCCCAGTCGTGGTGTTATTGATGTGATATCCTAGGTACTTCCATGGCATTGTCATTTGTTCTTTTTCCGGTGCAACCTCAAGGCCGTGTCTTGATAGAGTAGCTTTCACAGTCCGATGAAGTTGTGCGAGTTGCTCCTTGGATTCAGCAGCCAGTAGGATGTCGTCTATGTAGTGGTACAGGATGGTCTGGGGAAACTGCCAACGAATTGAAGGCAAGACCTCTGCGATGACTCTCTGGCACACAGAGGGGCTATTTCTCATTCCTTGAGGTAGGATGGTCCAGTGATAGTGTTGAGATGGTTCTGCTGCGTTGATGGAGGGTACTGTGAATGCAAACCTACGAGAGTCTTTAGGGTGTAAAGCGATGTTAAAGAAACAGTCTTTGATGTCTATAATGATGATGGGCCATTCTGAGGGTATCATTGTGGGGAGCCCAGGCTGGAGAGCTCCCATGGGCTCTATGATTTTATTAAGTTCCCTTAAGTCCTGTAGTAACCTCCATTTTCCACTTGATTTTTGTATTGTGAAAATGGAGAAGTTCCAGGGACTATCTGTTGGTACTAAATGTCCCTTTTCCAATTGTTCATCAACTAGTAAGTTTACTTGCCGCAGTTTTTCTCCCTGTAGAGGCCACTGGGATACCAAGCGTGGCTCATTTGAGAGCCACGTGAGGGCGGGAGACTGCAGCTGACCAGTGGCCTTTAAGCTAAATTTGATGTGGTTAGGTGAATTCCCCATTGCCCTATAATATCCCTTCCCCAAAGGATCATTGGAATATCAAGGACGTAGGGCCTTGTAGAGGCTGTTTTACCTTCAGGGCCTTCAATCAATAATGTGCAGGCACTTTGGAGCAGTGACTGCACTCCTCCTACCCCTTTGATGTTGATGCAGGGCTGTGTTGTGTTCCATTCCTTAGGCCAGTCGCTCTCTGCAAAGATTGTGATGTCCGTGCCTATGTCCAAAAGACCCTTAACTCAAACACACTGGTTAGAATTGGGATACAACACAGTACAGGTTAGCATAGGGCAGTCAAGTAAGATCAGCTGTGACCACTGAACTAAAGGCACTGAGTCCAAAGTGTCTCTCCCCGCCTCACTGTAGGTTAGAGTGGCAATTGGTGTATTTGTGTCAAGCTCTATGGGTGGAAACAGAGCTTTGATGGTTACTTCTACTACTTTTGGGTTGTCTAGAGATATTGATTGGGCAAACTTTTTCTTGCTATAAAGGCAGAGGGCTGAGAGGAAGGATTGGCTTTTGCCCTACAAGGTAAGATAACAAAATTGGCACCACACTCTAGTGAAAAAGTGAGCCTTGTGACCAGCAGCAAAAAGCCAAAGTCTTTGAGCTGACAAACCCACCTACCTGATCTGAAGGTGCAGAATTGATGCAAGTATATTTGCAAATCAACACTTGAACATTGCAGTGTCTGTGCAGACAAAGGACTGGCAGCCTGAACAGCTGCAGTTACCTGAACCTTTATGACGCAGCACAAACAGGCTTGCACCAGCTTCCTGCCTGTGTCAAATGCAGCTTGTTTAAAGCCAGACAGATGACTGTGATGTGCAACTGCTTCCTGGAGGGGAGATGTATTATCTGCAGGCTACACTCCTGCAGTGCTCCAGTCCACACAGTGGTTGAGCATCAAGTGGTACCTCAGGACTGCAAGACTTCATAACATCAGTTGAACACAAGCCCCAACCAACCAGACTTGAACCATCTGCTCTCTCTGCTGTGCTTGCCTGGCACAGCCAGCCATTTCTCCTGTCTACTGGGAGGGCTGAGTGACCTGAGAGCCAACCAGCTCTTCCCCAGGGCTGAGACACACTGACTGACCTTTCAAACTCTGGTGGAACAGACACGGAGATGAATTTTGCACACTGGAGTCCCCAACACTCTCGCTGGGGCAGTGGCAAACAAAACCAGCTGCAGTTTGCAAAAGGCAGTAGTGTCATTGCAACTTGCTTCATCATTAGGAACCAAAAGCCTGGAATAGGAAGTTCCTGGCAGGAGTTTAAACTTGGTATTGCTGCATAAAGCCAACGTGGCTTATGCTCAACAGTTTAAAAGGTATTACACTGTGTTTATGTATAGTAAAGTGTACAACAGACATGGGAAGTCATCAGATCTCTGGATTGTCTGAAAAGTTGCTTTCTTACTCTCTGTCTGCCTCATGCAGCAGGGACAGGTTAAAAATGGTCTCCCAGTGTAGTACTGTCACAAGCATGTTTTGTTTGAGGTCAGAGAATCTTTGGACCTATTGCATTTCTCCTCTGACTGCAAACATTAACCTCTGTAATTGTATCCAGGCAGGTCTTTGTCCTGGTAAAGAATAGAGTATAACTTAAGTTTTGGCTTTGAGATACTCTGTGTGGATCCTCTGTGTAACAAGACAATTTTTCAGTGGCATGAAGGATAGTGGGGTGGTTGATTTTCAACAGTAGGTGGATACCTAATATTCCTCTGTGCCCTTGGAGATCATTCCTTCCTTGTTTTGCCACCTGCCTACACAAAGTTTCTGCAATTTAGGGGTTAAACCCAACATTTGCAACAGAAAAATCAGTGCACATAATGAAGAAAAACCATTTGGTTCTGGGCAAAGGCACAAAATGTTTTGGGGGTTTGTTTAATATTCACTGTGCATATTCCTGAGGAATTAATGTCTACTTTTTAAGATTCACTGGTTATTTCGTTGTTGGGTTTTTTTTTAGTTTGGGCTCTTAGGGGGTGGAGGGGATGAAGGATTCTTTTTATATCGAGAGGTACAAGGGTGTAAGGTGAGACTGACTAGATCAATCTCATCCTTTGTTAGCAATGATTTCTCCAGGTTTCTGGTAGTAGCTGGACATTTCAAGTATTGGTAAAGTTTGTTCTTACTTCTTGTAGATGAGCTACTCTACATTTTCAGCCCTTGAGATCAGAGGTCATAGCTGTGCTTCACCAGCTTCAGCTCATGATGTTACTGACACCCAAAACAGAGAGGAACAGCTAAATGCATCAACTGCTAATACTGTTAATGATGGGGAACCTGGGACTCCTGGTATCTTCACCCAATTCGGAAGAAAGGTTGCTACAGAGTGCAAACAGGTGAGAGAGTAACCACTGAAGTTACCTGCTTTTCAATAGCTCTAAAAACATTATCTGTAGGAACAAAATATGGAAAGATGACTCACATCATTCAAATTAATGGTTGGGCTTTTCAGTGACTTGTGAAGAATTTACCAATCCATTTTACCACAAATTATTGTGATTACATTCTGTCCACTTGCTTGAAAAAAAAAATCATACTGTATTTCTAATTCTTGTTGGGTTATTTGCTTGAAGTCTTCCCTGTATAAATAAAGTTCAGAAAATAATAATGCAAGGCTCATCTTGCTTTAAAAAGACTGACAGTAACTGTGCTCATCTTGTGTGAAATGGTTGTTCTCATATGTTGTATTTTTTAAAGAGACAGTCTGTGTTTTATATGGAAATACATTTCATTCATCTTTGTCTCAAATGCTAAGTGCCTGTGTGATAAACAAAGTCTCGAGTTTCTATAAGTTTTTGAAAAAGAGTTTATTATATGGTAAAAGCAAGCAGCCGGCTGGGTGACAGAAGTGGGGACCAGTTTCCCAAATCTGCACTCCTACTACAGGGTACATTTAGTATTTATCTTAGCTACTTCATGCATATTAATTATATCATATACATATACACATATGTATATACATATACATATGTATATGTATATACATATATATCATATGCATATACATATACATATACATTCTACAAGTTTTTGCTAAATATTTAATATATGGGTTCTCTTATAGCTAAAGCTAAATGGTTATCTCTACAACCAGTCATAATTCATGCATTCTTGGACGAACAGGTGCCTAAAAGACAGTATTTTATTCTTAGGATAGTAGGGAGGTTTAGGGCCCCTTGACCTTGTAAGGGTCTGTTTTATTTCTTTATGGGGGTGTAACTAAGTTTTACAATCCGTTTATGTTGATGTAATCACCCATTTGTTTCACGAATCCCAATTATTTATTTCTCACAGCCTGCGAGAGCAGCCTCCTCTTGTGGACACAGGACACCAGTCCCTCTCTTGACTCTTTGACCCAGGCTAATTTCATTTCCCTCACAGAGTGGAGCACCCCAAGGACTAGGGGTTTTGGAAGGACAGTTTAGGGCAGATCCTGATGTCATCTTGGTTCACATCTGTGGAAAGCACTGAATGCAGAATAATGACTTCACTATGAAGATTTTGTGAAGCTGCCAATGAACTACTTATGAAACCTCTGAAAGATTGTGAGAGTGTGTGTAAACCTTCAGTGAGACACAAACTCCAGCTCTGTGCAGCTTAATCAATGCCTCCATTGCCCAGGGTGGTAGTATAAAGTTGTGAATTACAAGGTGATGGGGTTTGCCTGTTTCCAGAAGAAACCCTTTAAGCAAAAGGCTGGCTCCCACCCAGATTTAAAAGAGCAGATTGCTTTTCCATGGGCTGAGTTAGGAGTCTGTGACCAGCTGCTGGGAATGATCAGGGAATAATCAAGCACTCTGTGCTGAAATGATTATGCCTAAAAATACAATTAAATACATCTGATGAAGGAGAAAATACAGGAATTTGGTTACTTTCCCTCATCTTTTTCTCCATACGTAGTTTTAAGGAAAGCTTAATTTCCTCAGGCAATATTAAAGCTTAAAAATTTTATCTAGAGAGCATGGATGTCAATTTGGAGAGCATATTAATTTGAGCCACCTCTTTTGATGCTGAAGATGATCACAATCTCCTGACTGAGCCACCTGACCACCAGAACAAGTTTTGCACAGTGAAAATGAACAAAGATATGCAAATACAACTTAAAATGAATAGAAACTTGCAAATGCTGCTTTATTTAATTCTTACAATAGGGAGGCACTTTTACATTTAAAAAAAGAAGTGCATTGTAACTACAAAACCCTAAGATATTATTCCATGAAAACAAAGAGAAACAGTCTGTGTGAGAAAGTGATTTTTTTCTTTCATTTCTATACAATTTATTACATTTAAACAAACAAAACCTAAAAAACCAACCAAACAACAGCAAAAAAAAACCCCAAACCCCCAACGTTTTCTTCTGTTCCCACGCCAGCATAAGCATTTAGAGCATTGCTGACACTTTGCGTCCCTCATCTCATACTTCCTGTGTTTGTTGTGCAAGGCAGAGCCTGACCAAAGAGCCTCCCAGAATTAATGGGTGCTGCTGAGATACCATAAACGAAGTGGCCACATTTGATGTCAAAAGTCCCAATTCAGCTCTGCCTTGCTTGCAAAACCTGCTTACTTCAGCCAAGTTATTTTTCGGCTTGGGCCCACGTGAAGAAAGTGTGTGCCGGGATGGTGAGAGCAGGGAAGGATATTCTCCTGAAGTTATCTCCCCTCCACGGAGTCAGGAGAAATCAAAGCTTGTTTTACCATCCTAGAAAGTGAAAAAAACTAGTAGTTTAGTGGCAAGTAGCCCTGGGGTGTCAGCAGCTACATATGAACCAGTGCTTAGACAGATTCAGAGGCTGTAGTGGGTGTGAAAGCCGGAGCAAATCCTGTCTTACATGTCACAAGTGGGAAGTGAAGTTTAACAATAACTTCAGATAGAGCAATAATGTTGAAAGATGGGCACAGATTCTGCAATACTGATGTATTAAGGTTAGCATTCCACAATGGAAGAAACCTCACTAATGTCACTCAGAATATCTCTGGAGAAAGGCAACCC